AGACCTGGGGGGGGGGGGCATGGAGCACCATGGAGCACCATCGAGGTCAGGAGGGAGCTCAGAGAACACAGGGTGGCTGAAGAGAGGGTTAAAAACGAGCCATGGCTGGCATGGGCACGAAAGGTGATAAATGGGCTCAAAGATGGAAACTCACTTCACCACTGTTTGAGTTTCCAGGGAAGATGATGCTCGTGATCACAGATCACTCTCTTAGGAACTTGGGAGAGGAGAGAGGGGAGCATGCTGATTCTGTGGTTGGAAGCAAGCCCTGGTGTAGGAGACGTGGTAAATAGTACAGTCAGCACATTATTGTATTATAAGGAACTGAGTGAATCTACTCGTAGTTTTTAAACTTGTTTTTCTTCTATGTTAAAGCAGCTTTAAGAAGTTTTTACCTATAGACCGAAGACATATTTTCTTTGATTAAATTTTGTTTTTATAAACCCCGTCACATCGGCTGTATTTGAATACTTAATGTGTGTTGTAAAAGTATGAATTTCATTGCATAAGATGTAAGCCCTGGAAAAGGGTGTGTGGATTTCTTTAAAAGCAAATGTGAGTTGAAAGCAGGTTCCCCAGCCCTGATGTGGCCCCGGGGTTTCTTTGAGATTGGGGGTGGCTGAGAGGTGGCAGGCAGCAGTGGTGACCGCCCACCTGGAGGGTGGGCCCCAGGCCGCCCAGCCCCCTCTGCCGGGAGCTGGAGACTGACTGAGCATTAACTCCTTCAGGACCGGGAGCTGGAGGAGGGTTGGGGACAGGGGAACTTTCTCCCTGCACTGGCCTCTCCTGCCAGATGCCACTCAGTGAAATAAACATCAAAGTGGGCTCTTGGTCAGGAGAACAGAAGAGGACAGAGAGCACCAGGGTTGGGGCAGTTTGTCAGGACCCCTGAAGTTGCCACTGAAGGCATGAGGCACAGGGCACAGATTTCTAAGAGATTTGGCAAAGGGCAGAATTCAGAAAACACACGTGCTTGGGCCCTGAGCACCCAGGGACATCAGCAGGGACTTGTCTGGCGTTTTGGTCCGAGCATTGTGCGGCTGTCCTGTGTGGCCACCTCCATCTCAGCAGGCAGCAGGCAGCCTTCTGTGAAGGGGGAGCCCCAGGACGCTTGCCGAGGGCCCAGGGAGGGACCTGATTGGTCTGCCCAGGTGGCTTGATTCCCACCTAGATGCCTGGGCAGCATCTCTGCCTGCCTGGAGACAACCTGCCCACCGCTCCCCACAGCCAGGAGTGGCCGGTCAGCGGGGAGGGGGCCCAGCCCACCAGGGAGGGTGGGAGAGGCAGGGACAAGCTCCCTTTCAGGAGGCAGCCTGTATTAAAATGCCGTCTTGTTCCTCTGACTGCTTTTTCCAGGCTGTGGAGGTGAGATTTTTTTCAGCATCTCACCTCCCCCCACCAGGGGTGTGTTGCTGGGCAGAGTGTATTTCCCACCCTTCCGTCTCTCCTTGGTGACTCTGCCTGGGAGCCATTCACTTGAGTGGCTTTGGATGGGCTGGAAATGAAGCTTGCTTGTCATGTTGTAGGGGCAGAGTCCAAAGAATTTTGTGATTGTGTTTCTACTACACTCTTCTTTCCAGTATTTTAAGTTTCGGCGTATTCGTAGGAACCTTTCTCAACCTCTTCCTAGGCCTTAGTGGACATGAGGTGGGAGGGGTGTGACAAGAAAAGGCAGTGGTGGTGCGCCTGCTACACCCCTGGCCCTGGGCAGGGAGGGCCGGTGGAGCCATGAGAAGTCAGGAATTCTGTGGGATCTGCTCTTCATCTGTCTCAGCAACTGATTCCACTGTGAAATGCTCAACCCCAGCCACCAGCATACTTGACAGGAGCTCTGCTTCCTAAGACAGACGCTGAGAGCCCTGCGTACCTCAGGTCTGGCTGCAGCCTTGTCCTGAATGTCCCAGGCATGTCAAGAGTGCCATGTTGTGCCCCTGACCATCCGGGTGGGAGGAGGCTGGGGAGGGGGAGCGTGGACAGTAGCCCTCTAAGACCAGCTGCTGGAGAACAGTTATACATCTGTTGGAGCACCGCAGCCTTTATTTTTCCTCTAGTATTTTGTCCAGTTTTTATTTTTTCCTTACGGTAACTCATTTAAAAAATGGAATTAGTTTTCTTAAGATGACCTAGTCCGTCTCTTGAGAAATAGATAAAATACTCTTGTGTTTCCAGTGGCTGTAGTGCCTGAAACCGGGATCCCGAGGGCCAGAGACAAGTCACATTGTGTTAAGTTTTCTTTCTCACAAGTTTGAGTGATAAAAATCTAAAAGTAAAAACAAAAGAAAACCCCTCCTAAGTTACTCATCTGTGAGCACCCCTGTCTGCTACAGGATGTTAGAATCTTTGGTGAAGACGGGACCTGCAAAGTGGTGGAGATTCCAGTGGACATGACGTCCAGGGACCTGTGCCAGCTGCTGGTGTACAGAAGCCATTGTGTGGATGACAACAGCTGGACCCTGGTGGAGCACCACCCTCACCTGGGGATAGGTAGGGAGCAGCACCTGCGGGTGCTCCGTGTGCAGTCAGACCAAGACCGCTAAGCACGTCACCACAGCATCCCCTGCCTGCCTGCGCAGCGGGCATCTGTGTTGTCCTCCACACACTTGCTCTTTGCTTTCTCCTCAGACTTCCCCTTCCTCCCTCCCAGCCCCTCTCCCGGGAGCAGGCACTGAGGGCCCTAGACCAGAAGCCCACGCCTCTGCTCCTGCCACCCACTCCCTTCCTCGAGCTGAGTGGTCCTCCCCACTCAGTGCCCGCCCTCTGCTCTGTCTCCACGTGTTCCCAGTTGTCACAGTCCCCTTGCTCCATGAGAGCTGACGCTTCTTGCTCTGAGGCACAGTCATTTGCTGGGGTGTTCGTTGACTCTCTCCTTCACTTTCTGTCCACGCCAAGTGGAGAGAAGTCTTCCTGTCCTGCATCTCGGAGCCTCCCCAGCACTCAGGAGAGCATTAGGGAAAGGCACACATTCCGTTCTGTGTCCACTTCCCCTTCGCTCGCGGTGTCTGTAGGTGGCCAGCCAGCGAGACGGTGTTGCTGCTTGTGAAGGGGCCTAGAAGGTCCTACCATGGCCTCGCCCCCGTCTCACATGATGCTTTTCCTCCCAGAGCGGTGCTTGGAAGACCATGAGCTGGTGGCCAAGGTTGACGGCACCATGGCCGGGGAGAGCAAATTCTTATTCAGGAAGAATTATGGCAAATACGAGTTTTTCAAAAATCCGACGGTGAGTCTTTTGTCTTCGGGTGTGGGGTGCAAGACTCCTGAGGTCTTGCAGGTGGCACTGGGGTTTCACGGGAGCAGATGGTACAGTAACTGAGATTCAGGGGCAGCAGGCAGGTTTGTGCCTCCGAGTTGCCATTAAACGAAGTGCTCTTTGCTCGATACCCAGCTCTGCTGCGGACTATGTGCCTTCACCCTGGCCCGAGGTGAGTGCGCCCTCTCTGGCTGCGATGGGAAGGAAGCAGAGCAGAGTTCTCACTTTGGAACAAATTGGTCAGACACTCAGCAGAATAAGTGTAGCAGATATTACCTTGTGATTATCTGTGGAAGATTGAGCAGAGAAATTAATATCGAGGCATGTGGACTAGTCTCCTGGGTTCTTCTTTGCTCTTCTGGGTTTTTTTGGGGGGGTGCTTGTCTTGTGAAATATCAGGGTGGGCCTCAGACCTGCCCTGGTGTATGCTCCTGCCCAAGTCCTGAGGCAGAGCCGTGTGCCCTGGGGAGAAGACCCACTCCAGCTCTGATGGTCTCATTACTTTTTATTTGGAAGTAAGAAATGTGCTAAGGATTTTGGAGGATGCACTAGGAATGCCTTGTGCACGTGACCGTGCTCATCTCTGAGTTTCAAGAGCTGTCTGTCTTATGCCGTGACTTGGGTTGCAGGCTGGGACCGTGGCAGCCCTCTGCCTCAGTGGCACTGAGATGTGAGCTCAGGTTCACAGGAGAGCTGCTCCAGGTGGGGCCTCCTGAAGCAGGTGCTCCCACCGAGAGACAGGGAATGAAAGGGCCGTCGTCATAACACAAGTGGACATAACTGTTGCTATAGGGTGTGGTCAGACCTGGCACACCTGTAAGCGTGCCCTTCCCCACCTCAGACCTAACCTTTGCATGTCTGTTTTTCCATTTCTGTAGAATTTCTTCCCAGACCAGATGGTTACCTGGTGCCAGCAGGCGAATGGTGGTCAGACCCAGCTCCTGCAGGTACTGGGCACCCGGGCCACAGGGTCCTGGACGGAAGTCCTCCCTTGAGCTGCCACGGTGGCCTTGCAAACACTTGGAGCAACTTCATTCTTAATCATGGATCAGCCTTAGAGAACAGGCCCCTGTAAACAGGAAAACTCACCTGGCTCAGAGGCAGCCCGGCGGAGGGCAGGATAGAGAAGCCGTGGTTTCTGCTACTCACCTCAGGGCACCAATATGACACTTGTCTCAGTTGCCTGCCTGCTTTGTAAAGTCTGCCTAGAAAATGTGGCCTCTGCCCATACTCCTTGCAGTGAAGGGAACACTACAGGTCTCTGTACGCTTGCTGCTGGTTGATGCTGTTCCAGTGAAGTCGGGAACAGAAAAGGGAGTTTACTGCTGCCTTAAATATGTGTATTTATAGTGTGTTAAGTGACAGACAAACCCATCAACTAAGGCAGCCACGCTGCAGAGCCACCGAGTGAGAGAAGCTACTAAAGGCAGTTCCTACAGAATACAGCCCAGCCCTCTTTTTCCCCTGGTTGGTCACCATGTTCCTCTCTGCCCCTGAGCTGGAGCCTCAGGGCTCATCCCGGGCCTCCCGGGGGCCCTCCTGACCACAGGCCACAGTGCTGGGCAGGCGTCCTCCACATTCACTGGTCATGGCCCGTGCATGGCCATGGCAAGTTGGCTAATGGCTGCTTTAGCTGCGTGATCTGGGTGGCTCATGTGTTCCAGAGGGTGCACGGCTGTCTCAGACTCCACCCAGGAGGTCTGGCCCAGACACATAGCACTGTCCAGGTGTCCCGTCTCACTTGCGGGAGGAGCGTGTCCCCTCAGTCCAGCACCTCCCCAGAGGCTCTCAGCCTCCCTTTCCCATGGGAAGCACGCTGGGACAGTGGGCTGTCACAGGGGCTCCCTATAGAGGTAGTGTGCAGACAGACAGACCTCAGGGGAGTGACGGTGAGGTGCTTCCTCCCGCCTGCGCTCTGCTGATGGGACAGTCTGTGGGCAACTAGACTAAAGGGCAGGCCCTGCACTGTCCTGTCTCATAAGGAAATGGGGGCCTTGTGCTTTGTGTCCCTGTTGGAAAGGTCCATTTAAATACTAACTCTGTCCTGTCCACACCAATTCAGATGGAATGTTTAAGACTTTAGAAATGAAGTGCATTTGAAAATTCCCAGTTTGCACCCCAAAAGAGTATTTAATCCTTCAGAAGATGTCAGAATGTCAGGGATGCTGATCACACATCTGCTTTAATCATTTTACATCAACACACCTAACTTCTAACACTTGCTCTTCAACAGAATTTCCTGAACACCAGCAGCTGCCCTGAGATCCAGGGGTTCCTGCACGTGAAGGAGCTGGGGCGTAAGTCCTGGAAGAAGATGTACCTGTGTCTGCGCCGGTCTGGCCTCTACTGCTCCACCAAGGGGTCTTCCAAGGTGAGCTCAGAGCCCCCACCCGCTGGGCACACCAGGTGGCAGGGTGCAGAGTGGGTGGGGCTTTGCTTTTAGTGCTCCCTGAGCTCCTCCCAGCTCCTAACTACCCGTGGAACAGCTAAGACACCAGGTGATCACAGACCTAGGAGCCTGCAGGCTGAACCCCCCCCACCTCAGGGCCCATCCAGCCAGGATGATAGATTAGTTCCATCCTAAGGCAGTCTACTCCCTGCTGTTAGAGATAGTTTAAGGAATAAAATGCCATTCTGCATATATTCCCAGTGGGAAGAGGGGAAGAGAGATGGAGGCAGCCACCAGGCCCAAAGAAAGTTGTGGCCTCACAGGCTTCCCTCGCTTGTGTCTCCTTGGGTCTTTGCCCCTCTTAGCTGCTCTTCTAGTAATGTCCGCGGCCACCCAGCCCAGCTGACCTTGGTCGTGTGTTTACCCCTAAGAGCTGAGGTCTCTGCTCTCGCCTGGAGGAAGAGGGAGGTTTGAGTGGGACCCCCAATGAGGGTGCTGAGCATCAGGCTAATTTCCTGCTACTCCGAGGGCAGCAGGTGGGGCTCCTTCCTCTGCAGAGGGAGCGTCTCCCAGCTGATGCAGGTGGGGCAGGTAATTTCCCCATCTCCCAGCTCTGGTATGTGGCTCACGCACCATCCTCGTAGATGCTGAACCCAGGGACCTCTGTGGCCAGAGCAGGAGGCAGAGCTCAGTTGGAGAGGGGACCGGGCGGGGATGGGGTGAGCCATCGGGAAAACTGCAGACACAGGTAGCGTCTGACACACAACAGAGGGAGGTAGGATAGGACCTGCTGCTGAGCCTCTGCTCTTTAGTTTGACCTAGGGTTTCAGATTTCTCCCCTTTGTCCTTTAAATATTTGGTTTCCGAGTGTCAGATACGTTCTAGCAGTCTTACCTCTGAGAATTGGGAGGGGTTTTGGTGGGGGCAGGGCGACTTTGGTTTTAGCTTAGTGATTCTTTTACACATGGTTATGATCTGTGGAATGTAAGGGGGGATGCCCTGAAAGCCGCACAGACTGCCCTCTGTTGGCGAGGACAGGAAACTTCCGCCTGGGCTGGGCGGGACAAGTGCTCCCAGTTAAAACGGACGCCTTTTCACAGGAGCCCAGACACTTGCAGCTGCTGGCGGACCTGGAGGACTGCAGCGTCTTCTCCGTGTTCTCGGGCAAGAAGCAGTACAGCATCCCAACGGACTTTGGCTTCTGCATCAAGGTATCCCCCCAGCCCTGGCCAAACCCTGCCAGCTAATAAGCAGCAGCCTCTGGCGACTTTGGAATTGAGACTGTACATTGTTCCTCGCTTGCTGCTTTTTTTAAAAAAAAGCGGTGATACGGTTTCACACTGGATTGATTCATTAGTGTATAGATATTTCCTGTGTGTTACGACATGTCCGTCCTTGAGTCGCTTGGAGGCCCAGAGGAGGGTGTGGTGGTTAAAAGGGGTCCCTGTTGGGACGCCCAGCAATTGCCTGTTGTGTGCAGGACTCAGCCCTACCCGAGCCTGGGGCGAGTTTCTGGTTCGCTCCCTGCCGCTCACCTCAGCTTCTTTTCCCTCCTTTAGCCAAACAAAGTCCTGCAGGACACAAAGGAGCTGCGGGTGCTGTGCGCAGAGGACGAGCAGGGCCGCACGTGCTGGATGACCGCCTTCCGCCTGCTCAAGGTACCTGCCCGCGTTCCCTGGGAGTCGTGCCACCTGGCTCTGTTCCGTCCGGGGTCTGAGATGAGTTGTTGTTACCCATCTTTCACACGGGGTCTTGGGAGCTGCTCCCAGAAGCTTCACAGGGGGAAGAGTGGTCCGTTGCGGACCTGGGCACTGTAGCACCTGGGGTTGGTGTGGGCCCCGTGCGCTGTGGGGCACTTACAGGGCCCTGGTCTCTCCCCTTGATGCTGTGGCACCCCCACCAGGTGAGCCAGCCCCATGTGCCTCTGGACATTACCAGTGTGCCTGGGGCATGAGGGGCAGGGAAAGGCCCCAGCGGACAAGGTCTGGGTTAGAGGGAAAGGAATAGAAAGATGAGGGCCAGGAAATGGGACAGCAAGGAATTCGCAGAGGGTTAATCATTTTTGTGACTGACCATCAGACTCCAGGCTCCTGAAAAGTTGGCCCTGAGGGACACTTGAGGAGTGGTACAGCCAGTGTAGTGGCCCAGGAGAAAAGCTGTCTCCTGGCAGTAGGTCCCAGGGGATGTTTATTGTGTGGGACTTCACGTGGGATCATCCCTAGATAGCAGCTTCACAGTAATTGCCATGTGGAGTCCCCACGGCTCTTCAGTAACAGCCAAGCTCGTGCTGGTGGAACCCTTCACTTTCCACTTCCACAAACGCGGCTTCATGCACCCATGTGCGCCACGTGTCCACAGTCACTTGTACTTATAAAGTCCACTCGAGGTGCAAGTTAATCAAGAGGAACGTGGCTCTGGAGGAGAGTTTGTTCTCTGACCTGTGGCCAACACAGGGTGTGGCCCAGGAATCTCGCGGCTAAACCCTCAGCCCTCCTGCCACTTCCAGTTGGGCTGAGACTCCAGGGGGATTCACTTAGAGAAACAGAGGCCCAGGGGGAGGCTCAGCACAGACTCCTGGGAGGACACAGGACAGGAGCACCAAGCGCGGGCTTCCCTGTACCTCTCTGTCCCAGAACCTTGTCCTGTGTTGTTTTTGCTGCTGACAAAACCAAAGAGAACGAAAGTTACAGTTTTACTGTTTCGTAGACGTGTTAGTGCTGAGATGAGAGGTTATACTCCTTTACAGGCTAGATTTGAATCTAAATGTCCGTCAGTGGGGCTGTTTAGGGGGTTACAGGATGTCCACTCATAGGAATACCCCGCAGCCAGATGGAATGAGCCAGCTCTCTGGGCCCCCTTGTGGAAAGCAGGGTGTATCGGCAGAGGAAGTTGGGCAGTGTGTAGCGTGCTCTGTGGGGGAGGGGGAGGGAAGCCTTGTGTTTCTGTAACGCGGAGACACTGTACAGACTGTGAGAGAAAATGAAGATTGGGGGCGAGAAGAGCGGCCGTGCAAAGTGAGCAGATGTGGGAGGGAAACCGTTAAGTTTATATACTTGTATGTTTTGGGGGTCTGTGTATCTATAATCTATTTTGGGAAAAGGGAAAAACAGTGAAACGGGTGGTGGCTGGCTCCATGGGGCCCAGGCTCCCCAGGCATGGGGCACTGACTCTGGCTCCCCTGCAGTATGGAATGACCCTGTACCAGAACTACAGGCTCCCCCAGCAGAGAAAGAACTTTCTGGCAGCCTTCTCCAGCTCCTCGGTAAGTGGACCTACCGCCTTCAGAGCCAGGGTCCCAGTCAGCACAGGGACCTCCCGCGTCTCATTCAGGCAGGGTTGCTGGGGGAGCTGCAGGGCGAGTATGTGCGTTTCAGAGAAGCTAGCCTGTCCCCTGCATTCCATGTCCCGGGGCTGCTCCTGTCGGCTCAGCAGAGGGACAACTGGGAGCAGCTCCTTGACCAGCCCTGCCCTGTCCCACAGCCCCCAGATGGTTTAGGTAGATGCTCTACTTAGTGCTCAGATGGTCAACAGCAGCCCAAACTCCACCAAGGGGCTGCCTGCACTCCTGTGCCTTCCTTTGTTCTGGCCCTGAGACCTTGGTTGCCTTTGACCATTGCACGGCCATTCCCTCGAGTCCTTCGCTGGTGAGGTGGAGATCAGAGTGAGTCTGCTGGTTCTCAAGACTCAACTAACTTACTAAAGGCACAGAAAACTCATCCTCACAAAATACCATCATGAGGACCTTCGGTGTCTATTCTTAGGACCTCTGTTACTTTATGCCACACCCTGCACCAGCATGCCTGGGAGGGACGGTGGCTGCTGCAACTGGGCACCCCGACATTCCCATTGTTCTGCTACGTCTCAGTGCAGTCAGGGCCCTGGGGCACTGCGGGGCCCAATCCTGCAGGTACCAGCAGCCTCACATCCACCTTGGAACACCCAAGAGAGGATGGGATGTGTCTTAGTCTTAAGAGAAACAAAAGTTGTTTTTAGCTCAAGGACACCTGAATTTTTCACCGGAACCTCAGAGTTGGGACCTGGAGGTGTTCCCACCACCCTCTCCCTGGCCAGCCGTCTAGGACTGTTTTGTGCTGAGATTCCATGTGCTGCTCTGGCTGCTTCCCTACATTTCAAAGTCTGTGGCCTTCCCTTCCAGCGCAGTGTCTCTGAAAACTCCCTCGTGGCCATGGATTTCTCTGGGCAGACAGGAAGGGTGATCGACAATCCTGATGAAGCCCAGAGCGCAGCCCTGGAGGAAGGGCACGCCTGGAGGGTAAGGCCACAGCCGCTGGGACTGGCTCCCTCCCAGGGGCACCTCTGCCACTAGTCTGCTCCAGGACAGTGGCTCCGTGGCTGTTGGCAAAGGGGCGAGGTGTTGGAGAGGGAGGGTGGCATCGAATTTTCAACTGGGAGAAGCAGTTGGCACTGCTGGCTCCTCCATGTTCCCTGTCCCCTCCCCCCTGACCCGTCCCTTAGACTCCAGAGGAAGGAAGAGTATAGGAGCAGGGGCATCATGGTCCACGCACAGAACTGTCCCTGCTAAGGGACATGGAGCCTGTGTTTCATGGCTCCAGCATTAGCTAGCCCCGTGGCTCGAACAGTCCTTAACCCTGAGGCTCAAGTTCCTACTCTCCAGATGGAAGACTGTCACTCAGCTTCCAGGTTTTTCTGACTAAAGACAAAGCCCGAAACAGAAACCTGCAGCTCCGGCTCTAAAGTGCTCCCTGGACTTGAGTTCGGGGCTTGCAGAAGGAGGTGTGTGTCCCCCCATGGCGTTCTGGGAAGCAGCTCAGATCCACCCAAGTGCCATGGGAGCCTGTGCTTGTCTGTTAAGATTTATCCAGCTCCCCTTCATAGCCAGTGTGGGAAGCAGGAGCCTCAGAGCCGGACCATCAGGAACCCCCGGTGCTTCTAGTTCTAATGACTGTAACCTGAAGCTCCCTGTTCTCTGTGGGCAGATGGGGCTGGGGCTCAGGCCAGCGCTCCATGAGCCGGGGTGCTGTCCCCCAGGCAGGGTGTCCTGAGGCATGTGCACAGGGGCTTGTGGGTTGTGCCGCCTGCTGGCAGCAGTAAGGCACCTTCCTTTTGCAGAGACGGAGCACTCGCATGAACGTGCTGGGGAGCCAGAGTCCCCTCCCCCACCCTTCCCTCAACACCGGTAAGTGTGCCCCACTCCCACTGTCCTGAGCTCTCCAGGGGCCCCGCCATGGGAATGGGACCCGGCCCATCACGAGTCTGCCATGTGTCTCAGGCAGCCACTGCTCAGGGGCTGGGACCCACCCCTCTGCTCCCTCCACAGTGATCCACAAGAGCCAGCACTGGTTCCATGGCAGGATCTCCCGAGAGGAGTCACACCGGATCATCAAGCAGCAGGGGCTGGTGGATGGGTGAGAACGCGGGGCAGGGCATGTCTGCCGGGTTCGCTTTGCGCTGCATGGGCATGCGGTCCGGTCAGGGCCTCTGAGCATCCTGACAGGTGGTGGTGAGATCCCGTTGTGCAGAGAAGGGTGCTTGGGGGTGGGAGTGTCACACATGCTTCTCCACCAGTAAGTGTCTCCATTTTTGCCTATGTGCTGTGACCTTTCTGCGTGTGCTGAAAGGGACAGAGGAGCGCATTCGTCATTGAATTAGGCTCTGGGCAAATGCCAACAACAGTATTGCCCATACCTTTTTTTTTTATCGTCACCTGAGGATATTTTTTTCCATTGCTTTTCAGAGAGAGTGGAAGAGAGAGACATTGATGTGAGAGACACATTGACTGGTTGCCTCCCGCACACGCCCCAACCAGGGGCGGGGAGCAAACCCCAACTGAGGTATGTGCCCCTTGACTGGGAATCAAATCCTGCAGTGTGAGGGCTGACGCTCTACCACTGAGCTACGCTGGCCAGGGTGCCCATACCTTCCGTGTGTGCATTATGTCAGCGTTGGTGGTGCCTCAGGAGCCCCTGGTCCTTGCTGTGGAAAGTGACATTCACAGCCCGGGCGTGCAGGTGCTGCTGCCACAGAGGCCACCTGAATGCTACAGCACTTCAGGCACCGTGGCTACAAGGGAAGTGTGTCCTCACACTGTGTGCAGATGTGTGCATGTCTGTGCATGTGTGTGTGCAAACACAGGTATGTACATCGAGTCTGGACTTTTAAATAACAGCAGCTGCCTCCCATTCACAGGCTCTTTCTGCTGCGCGACAGCCAGAGCAATCCAAAGGCCTATGTGCTTACGCTGTGCCATCACCAGAAGATTAAAAACTTCCAGATCTTGCCCGTAAGTACTGATATTGTCATTCTAACCCCCCATCTCTGCTTCCTGGTTTTATTTTTAATGCAATTTTCAAGTTACAAACTCACCAGAGTACAGATTATTAACTATTAGGCCCAAGCTCACAGGTGAGAGACTTTCAAGGGCTTCTTGAGAGGTTTGTTCTTTAGAAAGAGGACCAGCATTTCCCTGGTGATGACATTGATACGGTGCCCTGTGCCGACTGGGTCCCCGTTCTGTCGCTGCAGTGTGGCCTCTGACCCGGAAGTGTTCTTGTGTCTCTTAGTGCGAGGAAGACGGGCAGGCGTTCTTCAGCCTGGATGATGGGAACACCAAGTTCTCTGACCTGATCCAGCTCGTCGACTTCTACCAGCTCAACAAGGGGGTGCTGCCCTGCAAGCTGAAGCACCACTGCGTCCGCGTGGCCTTGTGACTCCAGGGCGGCTTGGCCGGTGGCTGGGGCCGCGCCCGTGTGGCCTGTGACCCCAGACCCACCGGGGCTGGCGGCTGGAGGGAGCCGACCCTGGAGGAGTAGGAGGCCTGTGCATGATTGAGAACACACTTTGATTCTATACCTTGGGAGCAAAATCGGCTCCTTAGGTGCCAACCCCCACGATTGGATAGTTTCTTGGACTTAATGGTGATTTGCTGCTGTGGACCCCGCCAGCCAAACCGGGGTCACAAAAGAGCGAGCGCTAATTTGAGGACAAACTGGAACCATCGTCCTGGCGGGGCCACGAGAGAAGTGATTGGGAATGAACTCTTGCCCTGGAATAATCTTGACAATTGAAACTGCGATGTTTACTTTTGTATTGATCACTCCTTTGCACTCCTTGTTTTCCATGTTGTCCTCGGCCTCTGGTGGCAGCCTGCGGCTTTTCAGTGCGTTCAAGACGGAGAGACGGTTCGGGATGGGCAGACGTCCCCGACGGAGTGCGGCCCCCAGAGGTGTCCAGAGGGCGGCCCCACCTCCTGCGGGTCTCCGCGGGTGGACTCAGCTTCCAAACAACAGAGACCCTCGCCCTTCCCGGTTTACTTGAAAAGCTTCTTAAAAAAATAGAGGTGTCACCTGTGGTCGGCATTGGGCACGTTTGTGGACCAGTCAGGCAGCCACCGTCTGTCAATCACTTCTCTGTGCACAGGTGCTGTGCTCGTGTCCCCAGGGTGCCACGTCTTCCACGGCGCAGGAGCCTTGATTTCTCAGAAAACTTAGTGCTCTGCGCCCGCCAGGGCTGAGTGGCTGCCGATAGCTGGGGACGGCAGCCCTCCTAAGACCCCCGGTACCCCCATCTGCCCGCGGTCTGTCCGCCTGGGCGCCTGCAGCCTGCTCTAGAGCGATCGCCGCCCAACCCGCTGCAGTGGCCTGAGTCCCCTCCTGGCTTTTCTCCCTTGGGGATTCAAGGCTCTGATGAGAAAATGTCACCTGCTAGGCTTCCTGCAGCCACCTGCAGGTTTCCATGGTGACAGACATTGAAAGGGCACGTCCCTGGCCCGGCATTCCCGGTCTGTGCCTGATGACCCCCCCTATCCTGAGACCCCAGCGCAGGAGGCAGCTGTCGGCCCCCCTGCCGGCTCGTACCTCAAGGCAGCTGTGGACCTGGACCAGCTTCGTCGACAAGACCCTGCCTCCCGCTCCGGGGCATCAACGGGGCCCCGCCTCCAGCTCCGGGGTGTCAAAAAGACCCTGCCTCCAGCTCTGGGGTGTCAATGGGGCCCCACCTCCAGCTCCAGGGCATCAACAGGGCCCCACCTCCAGCTCCGGGGTGTCAGAAAGACCCTGCCTCCAGCTCTGGGGTGTCAACGGGGCCCCACCTCTGGCTCCAGGGCGTCAATGGGGCCCCGCCTCCCGCTCCGGGGCATCTAGGAGACCCCGTCTCCTGCTCCGGGGCATCAACACAACCCTGCCTCCCGCTCCGGGGCGTCAATGGGGCTTTGCCTCCCGCTCCGGGGCGTCAACACAACCCTGCCTCCTGCTCCGGGGCATCAACGGGGCCCTGCCTCCTGCTCCGGGGCATCCACGGGGCCCTGCCTCTCCCCGGGGCATCCACGGGGCCCTGCCTCTCCCCGGGGCACCCACGGGGCCCTGCCTCCTGCTCCGGGGCGTCCATGGGGCCCTGCGTCCCTCCCCGGGGCGCCCTCGGGGCCCTGCCTCCTGCTCTGGGGCATCAAAGAGACCCTGCTTCCCGCTCCAGGGCGTCAACGCGGCCCTGCCTCCCACACCGGGGGGCCCTTGCAGCCGGCACCCGGTCCCCAGAACCGGGTCACCAGGTCTGAGAGTGGCCGCATCTTCCTTACCTTTGGTCTCTGACGAGCACACAGCGCGCTGTGGTGCAAAGTGATTTCCTTGTGCAGTAGCGGTTCCGACAGCGACTGGCCTCCGAACGTGCCTCTGGCTGCCCACATGCCACCACAGGGCTCCCGGGAGCACAGTTCAGACACACCGAAGGCCAGTCGGGTGTGGGCCCTGTGCTTCGTTTTATCCCACAGGCCGCACCCCCGTGGTTTTCCACGACTGTCCATTTATGCAAATGAAGAAGTTTTAGTTAAACGTTTTTAGCCATAAATGCTTGTTTTCTTCCTTTGTGCCCAGTTCACCCTTCATCCCATTGACCACGGCGGGCCTCTGTCCCGCGGGCGGCGCCCCCGAACCCACCAAGGGACTTGACAGCGCCGCCCGCCGCTCTTGCTGCGGGACACAAAGCAAAGCCTTAAAACAGCCCGAGCAGGGCCCTGCGGTCTCCGTCCTTTCACGCGGAGCCGGCCCGGCAGTGAGACCAGACAGGCCCGCCCCCCCCGCCCCCGTAGACGTAGTGTGTGCAGCATTTCATATTTATCCGCACGCGTTTTATTTAAAGGACAGCAGAAGCTCGGCTCTGACGCAGCTTCGCATGCAGCTGTGTGACCTGGCCCTTCGCACCTCCCCGGCCACCTGGCACCTCGCGCGGCCTTGCCCCGCCTGGGCCTGGGAGGGCCACCCGACAGCCGCCGGTCCCTGGAGGAGGCAGCGTCCACCCGCCGGCCAGGGCCCGAGGACATTCGGCCTTTATTTTTGTATTTCAACGACATGAATGTAAACGGGACAGCTCAGGGTCGTTTTGGAGCCTGTTGAGTTTATCTGCCTGTGATTTTCTTTCTAAGTGATACTCTGAGCAGCCACCTGGACGAAGAGGAGGAGGAGACACCGGTGCTTCAGGTGTCGGCGCCCCGCCAGCTCGGCTCGGGGCCGCAGGTCCAGGACGCTTTTTTGTTGCTAAACTTTGAAGAAATATGTGCCTCAGTCTAGAAGTTCTGTCTTCTGTTTTCTGCACCTAACACCTGACACTTAGACAAGCCTGCTCACCTTTGGGGCGGCCGCTCGCGTGGGGGAGTCAGGAGCGCGGCGCCCCCGGCTTGTCCGCGTTTTCAGGGAATTGGAAGGTGCTCAGAGACGACACTTCTGTTCCATGTGCTTTGCTCCTCTCTGTACATAGCTACTCAGCTCATGAACCTAAGTATAAACTTTCAGGTATTTTTGTACAAATAAGGGACTGGTGATCTGTTTCTTGTAATTTGAAATAAACATTAATACAGTGTTCTTCATTTTCCACTGCTTGCAATGTCTCTGTATTTTGAACCCCTCCAGTTGGTCAGCAGCTGAACACCTTTGGGAGGTGACGGTGTGCCTCTTCCCACCAGGGGAGATGGGCTGGGGGGGGGGG